TACCAATAGTGCAAGAGGGTTCCCCTTTCTCCACATACTCTCCAACATTTGTGGTTTCCTGTCTTGTTAATTTTCCCCATTCTCACTGGTGTGGGGTGGTATCTCATTGTGGTTTTGATTTGTATTTCCTGATGGCAAGTGATGCGGAGCATTCTGCTTGTTGGCCATGTCTATGTCTTCCTCTGTGAGATTTCTGTTCATGTCTTTTGCCCATTTCATGATTGGATTTTTTGTTTCTTTGCTGTTGAGTTTAATGAGTTCTTTCTAGATCTTGGATACTAGTCCTTTATCTTATATGTCATTTGCAAATATCTTCTCCCATTCTGTAGGTTGTCTTTTAGTTTTGTTGACTGTTTTTTTGGCTGTGCAGAAGTTTTTTATCTTGATGAAGTCCCAATAATTCATTTTTGCTTTTATTTCCCTTGCCTTCATGGATGTATCTTGCAAGAAGTTGCTGTGGCTAAATTCAAAAAGGGTGTTGCCTGTGTTCTCCTCTGGGATTTTGATGGAATCTTGTCTCACATGTAGATCTTTCATCCATTTTGAGTTTATCTTTGTGTATGGTGTAAGAGAATGGTCTAGTTTCATTCTTCTGCAGGTGGATGTCCAATGTTCCCAGCACCATTTATTGAAGAGACTGTCCTTTTTCCAGTGGATAGTCTTTCCTGCTTTGTCGAATATTAGTTGACCATAGAGTTGAGGGTCCACTTCTGGGTTCTCTATTCTGTTCCATTGATCTATGTGTCTGTTTTTGTGCCAGTATCACACTGTCTTGATGATCACAGCTTTGTAGTACAACTTGAAATCTGGCATTGTGATGTCGCCAGCTCTGGTTTTCTTTTTCAATATTCCCCTGGCTATTTGGGGTCTTCTCTGATTCCACACAAATCTTAAGATTATTTGTTCCAACTCTCTGAAGAAAGCCCATGGTATTTTGATAGGGATTGCATTGAACGTGTAAATTGCCCTGGGTAGCATTGACATTTTCACAGTATTAATTCTGCCAATCCATGAGCATGGAATATTTTTCCATCTCTTTGTGTCTTCCTCAATTTCTTTCAGAAGTGTTTTGTAGTTTTTAGGGTAGAAGTCCTTCACCTCTTTGGTTAAGTTTATTCCTAGTATCTTATGCTTTTGGGTGCAGTTGTAAATGGGATTGACTCCTTAATGTCTCTTTCTCGAGTCTCATTGTTAGTGTATAGAAATGCCACTGATTTCTGGGCATTGATTTTGTATCCTGCCACACTGCCGAATTGCTTTCTATAGTGGCTGCACCAGTTTGCATTCTCATCAACAGTGTAAGAGGGTTGTCCCCTACCTTTGCATTCTTGCCAACATCTGTTGTTTCTGAATTGTTAATTTCAGCCATTCTGACAGGTGTGGGTGGTATCTCATCATGGTAATTATTAATTGATAAGAATTTAGTACCATTGTATTACCTATAAAGTAATTGATTTGTTGATTTTGTCAGTTCCTTTCTAGTCTCTGTGGCAATGTGTTTGGACCTTGTTCAATGTGTGGCATTTTAACTAGGTGTGCTTTGGATTGCTTCTTAAAACAAACCTGATCCTATTTCCACTAGAGCTGAAGCTTTGCAGCATTCTATTATCAGTAGACTTGGTGCGTGCAGAGGGTTTGTGCTCGTTTTCTGGGGAAGGGGCCTGCCTTGCTGATTCTCAGGCTAACTTGCCCTAATAAAGGTGCACTTGCAGGGTGCAGTGGGATGGGGCTTGGTGTAAGAGGCTGTAGTCTCCACTGAGGGGGCACTGTGTTGCTCACTGAAGTCTGTCCCTGCTGTTGAGGAGGGAAGGGTATGGCATCACCAGACTCTCTCAACCCTGGAGAGGGCAGTTTGCGCCCACTAGTGTTCAGGAAGCTCTCACAGAAGAGCAAACAATCTCCCCTCTTGTGTTCCAAGATTCTATCAGAACCCTGCTTTCACCCTGTGTCCAAGCTGTCTGCCTGCCTGGTGGCACAGTACTCCGGTGTTTTATCTCAGGTTTGTGGATGGATTTCAAAAACTCCAAGTTTTAGGAACCCAGCCTGGCTAGACCCATGCTGATACTCTGGGGGAGGGTCCTGTTGCATTGTGGCTGGTGCCGGTTTGTCCCAGAAAAGAAGTTGCACATCTACAGGAGCTGTTTATCATAAGCAGCAGAGCTCAAAGTCTGAAGTTTTAGAAATCTACACCATCGCTGGGGTCTTGTCTGGTGGGCTTAAGGGTGCTTCTTGTGATAAACAGCGCCCCGCCCCCTCTTCCCAGTCAATGGTTTTGGGGAAGAGTTTTTCTTGTGTAATCCCTTGTGTACCTCTCTCTCTCTCTCTCTCTTTCTCTTTCTTTCCTCTCTCTGTGATCAGGGCTCCCCTCTGCAGTACTCCCAATTCTTTTCTCTCCCAAATCAAATCTCCACAACTCCTAACTTCCACAATGTGGCTGTTTTTCACCCTCTATATGTGCAGTTTGCTCTCTCAGTCCTCAGATTTCTTGGGTGTTCAGAATGATTTGATCCAGCTGTGTTTAAGGGATGAAGCAGGCATAGGGTCCCATTATTATTCTATCATCTCAATTTTCCTCCTGGTTTTACCATTTATATATGCATCTCCAAATAGTACAGTTCTCTTTGCCTTTATTTGAACTTTATATGAATAGAGGAATGTATTACCTATCATTTTGTTCATATTATATTTGATATTCATTCATGCTATTTCATATGACTAGTTTGTTCATTTTCATTGATTATATTCACTTCACAGTATGTATATATCAAAATTTATCTATTTCTATTGTACATGGCCATTTGAGTTATTTCCTGATTTTGGTTATTACAAACAGTGCTACCACAAACATTCTTGTACTTTTATTTTGGTATAGTGAGTATGAGTTTTTCTAGGATAAATACCTAGTCATGGAATTCTGGGCTGAAGTAACTTTACCACATAATGGGTAGCTAAAACGTTACCCAAAATGAAAGTCCTCATTGTTCGACATTATTACCAATGCTTCATTTTATTGGGTTTCTTATGTTTTGCCATTCTAATACTTGTTTAATGGTATTTTTTCATTGTGGTTTTAATTTGTATGATTACTATTAAGGCTGAGGAACTTAGAGAATAGATTTCCTCTTCTGTCAAGTTCCTGTTCTATTCTTTTGCTCATTTTCTTATCAGAATATTTTTTTTCTTTTTATAATGTAGTATACTAGGACTTTGCTATTCATATGTGTGGCAAATATTTTTCCTACGTTGTGGCTTGTCTTTTCATTCTGCTGAGATTTTTGATGAAGTTCATAATTTTAATATAATTGTATTTATATATATAAATTACATATATACACAATTGTATTTATCAACTTTTTGTACTTACCACTTTTCATATCTTGTTTTAAAAAAATCCTTCTTTATCATCAATACATTGCCCTATTATATATTTTTGTATATTTTTTTATTGGAGTTCGATTTGCCAACATATAGTATAACACCCAGTGCTCATCCTGTCAAGTACCCCCCTCAGTGCCAGTCACCCAGTCACCCCATTCCCCCGCCCACCTCCCCTTCCACTACCCCTTGTTCGTTTCCCAGAGTTAGGAGTCACTCATGTTCTGTCGCCCTCTCTGATATTTCCCACTCATTTTTTCTCCTTTCTCCTTTAATCCCTCTCACTATTTTTTATATTCCCCTTTAATGAAACCATATAATGTTTGTCCTTCTCCGATTGACTTACTTCACTCAGCATAATACCCTCCAGTTCCATCCACATTTATAAAAGATTTATAGTTTCCCTTTTCACATTTAATACTTTAGTCTAATGGGAATTGACCTTTGCATATGGTAGGTGAGGATAAAGTTTCATTAATTCTCTACATGGATAGCTAATCATTCCAACTCTATTGATTGAAAAGTCCACCCTAAAGAAATTAATATGCCTTGCCACCTCAATATATATATACTCCTTTGGATAATACCTATTAGTGCAATTGCTTATAGCAGTGCTATCCACCAATAGCCAAAACACAAAAAGAGCCCAAATGTCCATCAACTGATGAATGAGTAAAGAAGATGTGGGATAGATAGATAGATAGATAGATAGATTTATTTGTATCCAAAGGATACAAAAATAGTGATTCAAAGGCACACATGCACATAATTTTATTTTTAAATGTAAGCCCCCAGGTAGGAGAGTTTAGGGAAAACAAAATAGGCACAATATACTGATTTTCAATTTGGCAATCTATTAATTTTTCTTTTTTATGTTTCCCTGCTGTATTGGTCACACTTTTCCAGAAAACAGAATGAATAGAATAGAATAGAATAGAATAGAATAGAATAGAATAGATTTATTACGATGGCTTGGCTGGCATGGTTATGGAGGCTGAGAAATCCCATGACCTGCTGTCTGCAAGCTGGGAGAGCAGAAAAGCCAGTGGTATAATTCCAGTCCAAACCAAAAGCCTGAACCAGGGGAGCCAATGTTGTAAGTTCTAATCTGAGTTTGAAGGCCCAAGAACAAGAACATCAATGTCTGAAGGTAGGAGAAGATGGATGCTCCACTTCAAGCAGAGAATGCAGATTCACCCTGCCACTGCAGTTTTGTTCTATTTGGGCCCTGAACAGAGTGCATGATACTCACATCGGTGAGGGCAATCTTCTTTATCCAGTTCATTGATTCAAATTCTTCTGGAAACATCTTCAAAGACACTCCAGAAATAATCAATTTGGTCAGACATCCTACTCTGCTCCAAATACACCTTATCTGCTGTCTTCTCAGATGAAGCCAAGATCCCCTTCTCAGATTATTTTGTAAAGGGTTGCTAGATAGGAGCCCATACCTCAAATTCTTTCCCTGGCCTCCATTTTTGTGAGAGCTTATTTGCTTTGAAGTCCAGACAAACACTTGAATTTAATTGAAATGCAACTTCCCCAAGTGCTCTAGGCCTATAAAAATCATTCTTCTTTAGAGATAATTTTGTTCTATTTCTGAGCCAAATGACACAGCTTTTCTTCTACCCCAGGGCACACTTTTGTTGCTTTAGCATCCTCTGCAGAGCTGCCTTCACCTCTTGGTTCTTGAGACTGTAGATGAGGGGATTCACCAAAGATGTGATCACACTGTACTGAATGGAGACCACTCGCTCCAACACCGAGCCTGAGGCAGGGCTGATGTACCTGAATAGAGCTGTCCCATAGAACAAGAGTACCACGGTGAGGTGGGAGGAGCAGGTGGAGAAGGCTTTGGCTTGGCCCTCAGAGGAGCGGATGTTCAGAATGGCAGAAATGATTCTGGAGTAAGAGAAGAGGATCAGGGGAAGTGTCAGCAGTCCCAGAAACGCACATGACACTGCTAGAAGAATCTCATTGACAATGGGATCTGTACAGGACAGAGGAAAGAGCGGAGGTAGCTCACAGCTGAAATGGGGGATAATGTTGGACCCACAGAAATGTAACTTGTAGATGAAAAGAATATTCATCAAGGAAATCAGAAATCCCACTGTCCAAGCTATGCTCACAGTCACAATACAGAGAGGCCTGTTTATGACCATGGTGTAGACCAGAGGGTAGCAGATGGCAGCATAGCGGTCATAGGCCATGGCAGAGAGCAGACAAGCTTCTGTTCCTCCAGAGAGAGTGAAAAAGAAACTCTGAGTGATGCAACCCCACACCGAGATGCTTTTCTTCAGAGATAAGAAGTTCTGTAGCATTTTGGGCACAGTGACTGAGGAGAAACTGAGATCCAGGAAGGATAAGTGTCCGAGGAAGAAGTACATGGGTGTGTGGAGATGAGAATCAACCCTGATCACCAGGATCATCACCAGATTTCCCATCAAAGTCAGAAGGTAAATCCCAGGAACAGCACAAAGAGCATAGTCTGGATCTGGGGATCACTAGACAATCCCAGAAGGACAAATTCAGTAATTATACTGACGTTTTTCATGGCTGCTTAGAGATTCTGTCCCTCAAAAGAAATGAATGATTTTTCCACTTGGTAAGACATTGATCTGAGTCTTTCTCAGTGAATAGGAATTTTCTACTCACAGACAATATATCTCCTTACCTATAGACCAAAACAGGAAACTCGAGATAAGAAAGTGTCTTCTCAGATACAATGTCTTCACTTGCCCTTCTTTTCTAACTAGTAGCACTATCTTGTCATGATCTCTATACCTTCACCCTACCTCATCACTCTTTTGATAAAAATACCAGGCACATGCAAGTCGGGTATGTCCTGGAGTCAAAAGAAGGGAGAAAAGCCCCAGTGGCTAAGCCCAAAAAACCTTTTATAGCCAAAAGCTAGGGGGCCCCATGGGCAAATGATTCCTTCTCAGAATAGTAAGGTCATAGACTCACAATAAGTAAGGGTGGTGTCATAGCAGACTTTACAGCCTTTATTTTATACATAAGGAGAATGCATTGCCTCAGGTCTCAGTAAAATGATGTTGAGGTTGGGATTAGAATAGATGTTCCAACTAGTCTGGTTGGTGGTTTTGAATTGATTGTTACAAGCTGAGTTTTGTGTTGTTTTGGGGTCACAAGCAACTTTGCTAATAGGGAGTTCACCTAAATTATATTTCAATATGCCTTGGCTCTGATACTTAGACAGTGGTCTCTAAAGTTCTGTGTTAGCTGCTACTGAAGTAGAAAAAGAACTAGTCTTAGAGTAGCAACCTTAATTTGAGTCTTAGCTCAAACATTCTAATGGTATCATCAACTTAAAAGTTACTCAGTTTCAGGGTGCCTAGGTGGCTCAGTCGTTGAGCATCTTCCTTTGGCTCTTGTAGTGATCCAGGGGTCCTGGGATTGAGTCCCACTTCTTTCTCTGCCTATGTCTCTGCGTCTCTCATGAATGAATAAATAAAATCTATTTTTAAAAAGTTACTCAGTTTATTTAAGCCTTATTGTGTTCATTTATGAAATTGAGTAAATGAAATAAATATTTTTGTAAACCATATAGCTCACACCATATTATGCAATAATAAAATTTTTAACATATGAACAAAAAGAAAAGACTTCTCTATTGGGGAGTAGGCTTGTGGGCATTTTTTCTTTTAAATAGTTTCTCTAATGTAAAATTATTTTCCCATTGAATACGTCTCTTTTTTTTTTTGTAAAGAAATGACTTGGAGACTTTCAGGAAACTCTCCGCCTAGCTTTGTTTTCTTTAGAGAGGAAGGCAAAGAGAAAATTGTATTGAAGTGAAAGAAAAGTCCCAGGGCAAAGGAAGCTGAACTCCTAAAGAGCAAATTGTTTTGTGGTCTTTTCCCCATCACTGCTGGGCATCTCAGTAGTTTGGTTCTGCTTGAGTACATGGGATTGAACCTAATGCCCCATTGAAATCCCTCATACTTATGATCCCAGAACACTACTAAGGCCATGCTTTCAAAGTGTGTTGAATGGAACCCTATATATTCTGTTGTAGTGCTTTAGGGGCCACTCTAAGTATTGAGGGGTGAGGAGTTAGAGGTGTCTTTGGGCACTCACATCCACCTCAATTGCCTCATCTCTTCTTTATTTATCATACTTGATTTGGCAGTAGGATTTAATTGAAGCAAAGGGTTCCGTTACTAAAAACTTTCTTTTTTTAAAAATTTTTTTAATTTTTATTTATTTATGATAGTCACAGAGAGAGAGAGAGAGGCAGAGACACAGGCAGAGGGAGAAGCAGGTTCCATGCACCGGGAGCCCGATGTGGGATTCGATCCCGGGTCTCCAGGATCACGCCCTGGGCCAAAGGCAGGCGCCAAACCGCTGCGCCACCCAGGGATCCCTAAAAACTTTCTAAAACACAGTAAACTAGGGATTCCATTGCCAGAAGGACTAAGAATCTCTTTCTCTATTCTTCACCATTTTCATTTTCAATCCTCTCGGGAAATCTCCTTCCTACTCTTTATCTGGCTTTGTAGCCCAGTAACACATTCCCATTTAAAATGAAAGCCTAACTTTTGTGTGTGTGTCTAGAACCTGATACATATAGAAACAAAACAGAAAGACCCTACATGGACAAATAGCAGAAGACTTAATCTTCCAGTTCAGCTATTATCTGATGAGAAGTAGCTATGTCTGACTTTGAGAAAGATACTACCCTAATCTAGGTCCTGCATAAATTAGAGGGGCTTGGGCCAGAGATCTCTCTATAGAAAGTCCCCTGTTACATATGTCAATATGCCTCTAAGGCTTTAACCAACCTTATTGAGCAGGACTGCTCGTGTTCTGATGTGTCTTCTGGTTTTCCAGCCAGGCTGCCTGCTACAGGACACTGTTGCTGGAAGGAGATGTGGTTCCAATGGCTGGAGATGAGAGATCTCAAGCCAGGTTCCACGAAAACTGGACTTTGTTTTCCAGCCAATAATATGAGGAGAGATAGAGACAGAGAGGCAGTGGTTAAGAGCCAAAGTATTCTGGTGTGGATCTTTCTGGAGGTGGATCTCTTAAGACTTGGATTTTTCTCTTCTTTTTTCCCTTAAGTACTGAGGAGAGCTCCTGGCCAGTTTGTGTGACTTGTATTTCTTCTTTCATTAAATCTCCAGGATCTTGTGCCAGGTGGCCCTAGGGAGGAATGGTGAGAAGAGCCTCCAGAGAGTCAGGAATTGTTCACTGCCCATGGGAAAGGCAGCATTAACCAGAGCCAAAGGGGCCACTGGTCATAGGACAAAGTGGTTACTGATATGGCTATTGCCAAAAGAGGTCTGGCTGAGGGTATACAAATACAGAAAGCTCCTGGCCATGAATTGCTTTACTAAGAAGCAGGAGATCAAGAAGTTCTGTAAAGGATTTGTCTCGTCTCTGACAGGTCTTGGATTTTGAATGTGAATATGTACACACACACACACACACACACAAACACACACACACACACAAGGTCTACACAATTTAAAAATTCATTACTCCTATGAAGACACTCCCTTCGCAACACTTGCTTCTCTAGCTTTCAGCTCAGGCTCTTGACTCCTACTTCACTGAGAAAATGTTCATTTCTCTAATTTTGTTGTATTACTCTCTATTGTGCTTTAGCACTGTTTTTGCTCAAGTTTTTCCCATTTTAAAACATAATGGGCAGAATTCGTAGCCTTATCTCCTCCAGAGAGAGTCAGCTTCCCTAGGGCCAGCATTGTAGCAGAAAAGGACCTACTCTGCTAAGGAAACAGGTGGTGAGTACAGACACAGTAAAAGGTGAAACCAAAACTTTGGCTTACTTCCACAAACTAGAATTTACTCCTCTGTAACAGAGAATGAGAGAGAAACCATCTGGATTATATAAGAAAGCATATCAGACTCCAGGCTGGTGGAGTTTCCCAAGAACTTCCTTGTCTTTCTTTCTCTTTATAGCCAATTTTTCTTTTTTGAGGGGAGAGGAGTATACTCTATATTGTAGTCTCCTCCTCATTCACTTCTCAGTCCACTGTCATCTCTCTTTTTCTGTTACCTCTAAAGACTGGTTGATTGGTGAGCATTGATGGACTCAGTGAAGGCTTTCCCTTGACTCCCAGAAGACTAGATGCCCAGGATGTTCTGGACTGGGTAAAGAGGCTTAGCGATATGTTAGGAGCCCCACAAAAGGAAATAACCTCACAAAATTTACCTGTTGACCTATATGCTGGAAGGAGATGTGGTTCCAACGGCTGGAGATGAGAGATCTCAAGTCAGGTTCCATGAAAACTGGACTTTCTTTTTCAAGCTTGCTTTGGTTATTCAGGGCCTTTTGTAGCTCCATACAAATTTTAAGATTATTCTAGCCCTGTGAAAAATGTTGGTGGTATTTTGATAGGAATTGCATCAAATGTGTAGATTACTTTGGGTAGTATACAATACTAACAATATTCTAACAATATTTGTTCTTCCAAACCACGAGCCTAGAATGTTTTTCCATTTTTTGCATCATCTTTAATTTCTTTCATTAGTGTTTTATAGTTTTCAGAGTACAGATCTTTCATCTCTTTGGTTAGGTTTATTCCTAGGTATCTTATAGTTTTTAGTACAACTGTAAATGAGATAGATTCCTTTATTTCTCTTTCTTCTGCTTCATTATTGGTGTACAGAAATGCAACAGATTTTTGTATGTTGATTTTGTATCCTGCAACTTTACTGAATCCATTGATTAATTCTAGCAGGTTTTGGGTGGTCTTTCAGGTTTTTTATAGACAGCATCATGTCATCTGCAAATAGTGAAAGTTTGACTTGTCAATTTGGATGCCTTTTCTTATTTTTTTTAAAGATTTTATTTATTTATTCATGAGAGATACACACAGAGAGGCAGAGACATAGGCAGATGGAGAAGCAGGCTTCCTGCAGGGAACTTGATGCAGGACTCCATCCCAAGACCCTGGGATCATAACCTGACCTGAAGGCAGATGGTTAACCACTGAGCCACTCAGGCATCCCTGGATGCTCTTGCTTGTTTCTCTTTTCTTTTTTCTTTTCTTCTCTCTCTCTTCTTTCCTTCTTTTATTCTATTTTTTTTGCCTGATTGTTGCAGCTAGAACTTCCAGTATTATGTTAAAAAACAGAGGTGAGAGTATACATCCTTGTCTTTTTCCTGACTGTAGAGGAAAAGCTCTCAGTTTTTCCCCATTGAGGATGGTATTAGCTGTGGGTTTTTCATATATGGCCTTTATTATGCTGAGGTATGTTCCTTCTAAACCTACTTTGTTGAGGGTTTTTATCATGAATGGATATTAATCTTTGTCAAATGCTTTTTCTGCATCTATTGAAATAATCATATAGTTCTTATTCTTTCTTGTATTAATGTAGTTTAGGGGATCCCTGGGTGGCTCAGCGGTTTAGTGCCTGCCTTTGGCCCAGGGCGTGATCCTGGAGTCGGGCTCCCTACGTGGAGCCTGCTTCTCCCTCTGCCTGTGTCTCTGCCTCTCTCTCTATCATGAATAAATAAAAAAATGAATCTTAAAAAAAATGTAGTTTATCATGTTGATTGATTTGCAA